CTGTCGAAGGGAGGCAGCTGTTTCGCACCAGGAGAGCATCTAATACTCACCAAGCTGCCCAAACGCACCTTTCTCCAACCGCGGCTAGTTCTGGAGGTGGGAGAACGGACGATGAGACCCTGCAAGCAAAGAAAAGAGGAAATTATTATTATTTATACGTGTGTGTGTGTGTGTGTGTGTATAATTTTGTGGCCGGTTGCTTTTTTTTTTTTTAAATTTCTCGAACGCCACGCCAGCGGCTCGGATTCATAAAGCGGAAAACCTCTGGTTCGCTTTGTCGCCTCGAAGAAGGACAGAAGGAGGAATGAGTTCCCGGGCAAAATCCCAGGCTGGCATAACATCCGGTTCTTTTTTCTAAAAAAATAAATAAAAATAAAAATACAAGTAGGTGGGAGAAGGGCCAGGTATGTTCTGCTACGACTGAAGATTCCTCCCTCTCGGAACTTGGGACCGAAGGCTGAAGGGGCCTCCTCGGTTTACGACATGGATTTTTCCCTCTCTTCTTTGTTCCAAAGCACGTTTTCCGTCGCCCACCTGGCAGAGGCGTTTTTCTGGGTCGGTGGGAGCATCGCAGCGGCACCTAAATGGAAGATGGGCCAAATTGGTAAGACCAGCGATGTGACCTCTGGAGTCCGTTTCCTCTAGAACAGGGAACTCCAACCTTGGCCATTTTACGACCCGCGGACTTCAGCTCCCAGAATCCCTCAGCCCGTCGGCCTGAGGAATTCTGGGAGTTGAAGTCCGCGGGTCGTAAAGTTGCGAGATGATCTTCTAAGATGAGATACAGTGACGGGTTTGTCTATTGACATTTGCAGAGGGGCTGTGTAAAAGACCGTGCTTTCTTCAGCTAATCTTCCACACGAGTGTTTTCCCGATCCCCGGTGGAACTCCCGGCCACAAGAAAGGAGTAGCAGCAATCAATTAGGAGGGCTTTCAAGGGCGATAAAACGTTTGGAAGTTGAGGCTCTCACTAGCTACTGATTGTCCATTCAGGACATATCTTGTACAATCTCGCATATTTGTGTCTCTTAATAAAGCAATTAAGATTCTGTACATCTGAACATACCAATATATCAAGCCTTGACGTATCGGTTAGCAAGAAGAGAATTCCCTGAACTGTTTTAATACAGCTTTACTGGCAATTTAGCTATAATTTATTTGAACTTGGCCAGACACACTCTGTCCATTTAATTCTTGGATTGGTTTTGCATTTTTTGGAAAGATTTGGCTCCATTTGGGAACTTCTGGGAAGGGAAACAACATTTCCCCTCTGTCTTAATGCTAAATATCTGTGAAGTTTTTGGTTCTAGAAGTAAAAAAATCCCTATCTTTTTTTTTTTTTTTTTTTAAGGATTTCATTTCATCTGTAATTTGATTAAGGAGAAAAACAGCTGATTTTCTTCCCTTGTATTTTGACAGTCCAAGTCCTAAAGTTTGTTTAAAAGATTGCGGATAAAAACTTGCCTGACCAGAATGAGGCTGGGCTAACAAGGTCAACGTTGGCCCTAAATCCATGCAAATCTTTTCTTGCTGCCTCTTCATTTTAATTGACTTGTTCAAATGTAATTCTCATTACGAGACTGGGACAGCTGTTTTTTTTATAGTTGATGTTTTGACTTTTCCGTGGTACTTGCTTAGCATTTTAAACGTAATTGCTGTTTTTCTTTAATTAGGGTTATGGTTATACAGTGTTTTAAATGTTATTGGTTATTTTAAATGTCGTGGCTGCTCTCAAACAGACTTTCTGTCTTGTTCCTTAAATGCAAAGGTTGATGCCGGCCCTGAGACACTTTGGTAAGGTAGTATTTTGTCATTTCCTTGGAAAAGTGGCATATGGATCTTTTAAATAAAGACACGACACAAGGCAGAGCAGATTGTGAGAAGATTAAGTAGCAGATCAGTTCGTTGCCTTGAGGGTTTTACTTGCGTTAGATAATCCTCTGACTCTTCAATAAGGACATCCCCATCAGAGTTGGACGGGACCTTGGAGGTCATCTAATCCAACCCCCTGCTCTAGCAGAAAACTCTATTCCATTTCAAAGAAATGGCTGCCCAATCTCTTCTTAAAAACTTCCAGTGTTGGAGCATTCACACCTTCTGGAGTCAAGCCTTTCCACTGATTAATTATTCTCACTATCAGGAAATGTCTCCTTAATTCTATGTTGGATCTCTCCTTGATCAGCTTCCATCCGTTGCTTCTTGTCCTGCCCTCAGGTGCTTTGGAGAATAGCTTGACTCCCTCTTCTTTGGGGCAGCCCCTGAGATATTGGAAGACTGCTATCATGTCTCCCCTAGTCCTTCTTTTCACTAACCGCCGGGTTAGCAGTCACTGCAAACTTCCAGCTCGGATAGTTTTTTCCAGAACTATCTGTGGGGCCCGAATTGCGCTTTGTAGAACCTCCAACCTCAGTGGAAGTCTATTCCTGAATGCCAGTGGCCGGGAACCTCTCCATTCGATCCAATCCAGCACTCTGAAATCCTACGCTTCCTCAACCTGGTTCTTTCAACCGAATAGTCCTTGTGGGTGGCAGTACTGGCTCACCAAAGGGGGACGCGGTGGCTCAGTGGCTAAGAGACTCTGAGCTGGCCGATCAGAAAGGCCGGCCGTTCGGCGGTTCGAATCCCTAGCGCCGCAGAATGGAGTGAGCTCCCGTTACTCGTCCCAGCTTCTGCCAACCTAGCAGTTCGAAAGCATGTTTAAAAAAAGAAATGCAATTAGAAAAATAGGGACCACTATTTTGGTGGGAAGGTAACGGCGTTCTGTGCGCCTTCGGCGTTTGGTCCTGCCGGCCACATGACCACGGAGACGTCTTCGGACTGCGCTGGCTCTTCGGCTTTGTAACGGAGATGAGCACCGCCCCCTAGAGCCAGAAACGAGTAGCACATATGTGCGAGGGGAACCCCTACCTTTAATTGGTCACAATTCGAGTCCAGATGCCTCAGGAACATCTGAATCCTTCAGACCCATCAAGAGCTGGTTCACGTTTCCTTGTACACGGAGTCCGGGAGACAATCCGACACAACGGCTTTGTTCTTACTGCTTGGCTTGAGAGGTTTTCTGGCAGGCATCCCTTGGTGCCACCAAGCTCTCTCATCACAAACAAAGACCATCAGTCAATCCTCTTTCAACTTTCAGTGCCCCCAAATATTAAAATCCTGGGTAAAAACTACCCAGCGATCTCTGGGTAAAAACTACCCAGCGATCTCTGGGTAAAAACTACCCAGAGATGAACGCCTGCAAATCGAATTAATCAAAATTGGGGGCCTGATTGAATAACCCTCCGTTCAACCTCAGGCCAATTTAAAGAATGATGCACACAGATCATCAGCTCCGAAGGCGAAAAATTCAATTAATATTGACTTGGAGGATTTGACTTGAGAAATGATGGGTAATTTTGAATCTCCTTTGGGTGCCATTGGAGCAGGGGCCGAAAGACAAACATTTGGATTTCCACGTATTCCAATCGTACAGGTAGATCTGTAATGTGGGAAGGGGTTAGATTTGTTGATATAATGCCACCACTCCCCAAATGAAATATGATTATTTAAGAACACTCCATCGTTGAAATATTGCAGCCAAACCCTCACATCTGTTGCTTTGCCGCAGCTTCATATCGTGCAAGGCAGCCTGCGAACTTTCTCTGTCAGATCAGAACCAAAATCCAATCAATGAACAGGGCTGTCACTTTTCTGCCACGGTGCATGTCAATGTTTTATTTGTATTCCTATTTTAAACGCATGATTTGCACCCAAAAAACCCGACACCAAGATCAATTTGATTTATTTACAGCTTTGGAATTTCGGCTGTCTTGTTTTTTCAGCGAAAACCACAAAAACGAAAGGCCCCTTTTTCGTGAGGTTTATCAGCCCTGGAAGGAAAAGATTTATTCAAGGTTGTAATTAAAACCTTAAATTCAATGAAAGGTTGCCATTTGTCCAGGATGGTATAAAATCCTCTGTCTTGGGCAAGGGGTTGGACTAGAAGACCTCCGAGGCCCCCTTCCAGCCCTATGTCTCTGTGATTCCATATGGAGAATCCATACAGAAGTTCTGCTTTGTCTGAATATCTCTGGATTGCAGTTTGGGCTCCAGTTCGCCGTTCTGAGCTTTGCGAATGTTTAACGTCTTCTTTCCACGCCGAAAGAGCCGTTTGTCCCCATGTACCTTTGTGAGTTTCTATTCTTCTATGTCTATTCTATTCTACTCTTCCTGTATTCTGTTCTATTCTATTTTTCTGTCTACTCTACTCTACTCTACTCTACTCTACTCTACTCTACTCTACTCTACTCTACTCT